TATATAGTTATATATATATATACTGTTCTTAATAGATGTTGCTTGTTATCTGGAGTTTTGTAACAAAAATAATTTCCCCCTGGGATTGTTAAAGTATTTCTGAACTGTATGCTGTGAAAAAGGATGTGTCACTGTAAACACCTGTGTGTGTCTTCTATAAACACTTAACATGTTATCTGTAACATTTTGTGTGCAGTGTATACAACCATATCAGTAACAGCATGCCGTGCAGCGCTGTGTTATAATGCAGTGACAGTAGTGTGTTCTGTAGCAAATAAGTGTTTTTGAAAATGGCACCAGTTAGAATAAGCTCTATGAAAATATATATACTTATTTCTTTTTTTGTGACAGCTTGAGAGATGGAAAGGAAAGGTGGAGAGAGAGAGAGTGGATGACATGCAGCAAAGGGCCACAGGTCAGATTTGAACCCATGGGCACTGCAGCAAGGCCTTGGTACATGATCATAATTTTTAATCCTCAAATTAATATCTATTTAAATCAAATGAATAGAACTCAGGGCTCCAAACGTCTTCTGTATGTTCTTCCATTCTTCCAATAGATGAAACATAATAAATGTGCCTATACTGACGGGTGATAAAATGGTAAAGGAACAACCAACATAAAGTGTCTTAGTAAGGTGTTTGTACCACCACTTGACACCAGAACAGCTTCAGTGCTCATTGGTATCGATTCTACAAGTCTCTGCAACTCTATTGCAGCTGCATTCAGCATGCTTCTTCACTCATTTATTGAGGTTTTTCCTTTCATTTGTCACCCCTCTGTATATTTGAGTTCAAATGGTGATTCTGCTGTATATATAACACAGTCAGGATTCAAACTTTGGGTTGTGGGTGCCCGGTTAACTCGGTGGGTGGAGCTGGCGACCCATGTACCAGGGCTGAGTCCTTGCTACAGCGGCCCAGGGTTCAAAATCCGACCTGCGGCCCTTTGCTGCGTGTCGTCCCCTCTCTCTGCCCCCCTTTCCTGTCTGTCTCCAGCTGTCCTATCAAATAAAAGGCATAAAAGCCGAAAAAATAAAAACGTTGGGTTGTAAATTTAAGCTGTGGGTCTGTGGTTCTGGAACAAGGAACGTATTAAAAGTATTAGTTACAGCGTAACACTCCAGATACAATGCATTGACATGCACTGACAGCCTGCAGCTGGTTACTCCAGTATATTCTATACTGCAGCATGGAGAGGACTTTAATCAGTGGTTATGTGATGCCCTCTTGTGGAGGTAGGTGCTACCATACATGACAAAAAAAGCATGAGCAGTTAAAGCAACATGGAGGTTTTATTACATATAACTAAGAATTTAACTGTAAACGAAGGCACAGAGGTGATAAATATTTTAAAGTGTAAAAACCTGTCAGAGAGTATTAGAGATTTTAGGTGGCTGATATCTGTGGGGAGACTTCCTGTCAGGGCTGTTGTGTCTTGGAGTTGCTATGTAAAGACAAAGAAATGTCCAATGACTGGTTGCAACGATGATGAGACACAACAGCACCTTTTAATGGATTGTTTTAGAACTCGGGAAGTCTGGGACGCTTTGAAGGACTTTGGAATAAACTATAAACCATGCTGGAAATCAGTAATGTACGGAATCATGACCGGATACAACAAACCACCTGACCAAACGGAATTACTCCAACTCATCATAAACATCGTCTGTTTCAAACTCTGGAAGACAAGAACTGCCATGACCATTTACCAGACTTTTATAGACAGTAAGACAGTCACAAAACAAATACACACAGAACTCAGGAGGAGGAAAAACCTGGACAAAAACTTTCTCCTCCCATGGAATACCTTAAATATATAAATCAGCCCCTGAAAAAAAAGGAACTCTCTGACTACATGAACTTTATGAACTAAATGCACTTTATAAAAGTTTTGCACTTTACAAGATTTTACTGAAGCACTTTACAAAGATTTTACTAAAGCAATTTCCTTGTCTATGTAATCGTTTATATGTGTAAACTATAATAAAGTTGATTAAAAAGCAACACAGTCCAAAGCAGGTCCCAACCTTTTCTATCATTTAGTCAACTGACAACCCCTGGCTAAGTGATATATTTTATGGATTGTTCATATTGTATTAAAAACTGTACAATCAACCCAAATAATGAACTCAGTAACTGCAAGAAGTTTGTGTAAAAGGGGTGATTTGGATGAACTAGTATTTTTTATACTTTTTTAACAATCATGCATACTTACTAAGTTTCTGTTTTGACAAATTCTGTGTTTTCTTGACCCTGACGCTTGGCCATTATTCTATTAGACAATTTACTTCACTTTACATTTACTTTTTTCCCCAGAAGGGAATCAAATGCTGAGTTGTAGGCCTACTGTGTAAGTTTTCTAGCCTTTAAATTTCTAGCACTTAAACCCAAGAAGGCCTCGCAACGCCCCATGAAGCTTTGGTGACCCACAGTAGGGGTTAGACCCCCAGGTTGGGAACCACTGGTCTAATGGACCAGCTACGGACAATAAAATAGCACAGAATAGCATAGTACTACATTTATTGAATGGATCATTTCCACAGGACTTCAAGTACAGTAAACTTTACTAATCATATAAAGGGTGCTACAAAAAATATTGCTGAATGAAAAATTAATTACTGTAAGACCACAGCGACATACTTTGAGACAACAAAGACATAAAAATATTAGAAAGTACATATGCTTCATGATTCAATAGGTCTTATACATCACTTAAAACCAAACATACAGTACAAGTATATCAAAATAGACACAAATATATTACTATAAAACATGTTTCAAACTGCATCCCATTTGTGTAGAGGAACAGAACATATACCATTTCTTATCAAAATAATATCTTGTTATCCAACACATATAATCTACAAATTCCACTCCAAATTTGTTGTGCAATTTTCTTTGAAATCTCTATTAAGGCAATGATAGGACAGCACCACAGATGCAACCACTGGAGTTACAGGTAAGTAGAATCAAAGGCCACAAACACCCTCCCAAAGATGTTACAAATATATTTTTAGAAGAAGACAAACAACGTACAGTTTTGGGTCAAAAGTTGCAGGTTATGATCCCCAATGGCCGTCCTGAGCAGTAGTAGTAGTGTTGTATAATGATTCATAAGCCATCAATGATTAGGCCTGGCCTTTAATATTATAAAAGCTTAGTTGATTCAAAGTAAATATATCTTTAAAATAACAGCAGTATCACAAATACTTACCACAGCAATATACCAGTCTTCAGATCAAAGACTTTCACAGTGTCTTCACAAATGTTCTTTGCATAGTTAATAGATTTTGTGATAGTAAACGCATAGAAAACTAAATCAGTGTGTAAAAGACGGTATCTAATCATTATGTGAGGAAAGTGTCATTTGCTAACAGAACAAAGTGCAAAATCTATACATAGATCGTTGCTGTGGCTAACATGTATTTATGGTCGCTGTTAGCCTCACAAACCAGTTTTCATGCTTTTCTGATGGCGCTTGCTACCAAGGTTTCTCGTCTGGTGGTTACAAACGCCTGTTGTTTTTCATAATAGGCTGCCTCATTAATAAAAGTGGGATAGACGGTGCCTGAGCCTTGGTAGTGGATGGTCTTTCCATCAAATGTTTGGAACATAGGGTCGCCAGGGTTCAGCGGTTCCCAGTCACAGTCCTGAAACAACAACAAGCAATAAGTAACTTGAGTAGGTTGCTCAAACTAAAATAATATATTCTCACATCAAGCAAAGATGTCTCATTTCCTCTTTCATAATAACTTTACAGGTTCACTAGGTCATGTATTTGGGCTAAAGATGGAAAGGCAGGCGTAATTTAGATTTTTCTCATTTTGACCTGCAGATTGGGGTGCACCATGGCAATGATGTTTCCATTGGCATCTCTGGGGTAATCAATCCTCTCTGAGACCCAGAAAACTTCCACCGTACAAGGGGGGAACTCCATTCCTAAACAACACACAGAAAACAACATCCCCAATGTTTTGAGCATCCAAAAATTGTGATTTAATAATATACAAAGACACACAATTATTTTCCAACAACAAGGGAAGAAAAAGAAATAGGCAATCTCAATCCTAATACAATTCCTCCTTAAAGGTCCAGTGTGTATGATTCTAGTGGTGTAGTTGCAGATCGCAACTCACTCGCTTCACCCTCCCTTTCCAAGCATGAGGGAGAAACTACAGTGGCCCTGGAATGTTTGAAAAAAAAAAATAGTCCTATCTACAGCCAGTGTTTG